AGCCTTGAGTGTTCCACAATTTGGAGCTGGGTATGACTGGCTGACGACGACGACGACAAATAAGTCATAAATGACGATTCCAGTCTCCCTTGTCTTTTTCGGTGATAACAGTCACGTGGGGAGGGCGCGGGCGAGCAATCATCACGGTGACAGTGAGCCAGTTTGCCGAGCAATCGTCACACCAGCATCCAGCACGGATGACGAAATCGCGGCAATTAACGACTCGGGCTCGGACCGACAAGCCACCACCGTATCAATTACGACGCCATTGCGATTGAGAGAACTTTTAATTGCAGTGGGCATACGGTCCCACGGCAGCCACGTGCTATAAATACTGCACTCCTGGCGCCACCATCACCTTTATCTACAAATGTCTCTGATGATGGATTTGGGTGAGAATCCGAAACGTCCGGCAAATAAATTTCTTGTTCAGTGCTCGCATCTCAATCTTCTGAACTACAACAACAACAACAACAACTACTACTACTACCACCTACTACTACTACTACTACTACCACTACTACTACGAATACTACTGCTAGTACTACTACTACTACCACTACTACTACTACTACTACTACTACTACTACTACTACTACTACTACTACTAATATTTCTACTGCTGCTGATAAACTTGACTCATCGAGGTTCGTCAGTCAAATGGTTCGACGCGGTTAAATAGTTAACTGTTTTTTTGCATAACCCAAAAGTCTGACGATGAGCTGGGGAAGCAGACTCGAAAATGTACGCATTAGAGGTTATGTTCTTCCCGCAGAATCTTACTTATCTTCAATTAAATTTCGTGAGATATCAGTTTTCCAGTACAAGATATATAAAACGCATGTAAAATATCTACCACGTTTTCGATTGGTAGGAAATCACGTCTTCTTTAAATTTCCTGTCCCAAGTAAGAGTGTCATCCAGTTCGCAAAGTTGGAAATTATGAGGGTTTTTAGCACCAAGACTTGTCCGTTCAAATAATATCTTATCTGTGTTTTTAGTAATGGTTCTTATGAAGTATGCAACACATTTCAAGCCCAAGACGACATTTTACGATCCCTGTGTGTGTGCTGCTTGGAGGCTCTAAATCAAAAACGCAAATGCAAGTGGTTCAAAATTACTCGGGGACCGAAAGGGTTTTGAATGCCTTAATATACCGTTTCGTCAAATTTTAAATTCGAGTTATTACACATAGAGTAAACGTATGGAAATTTACGTGTATATTTTCTATAAAATACACTTAAATGCATAAGGACATCGAGAACTAATGGAAACGCATCATACTCCGTACGGAGTAATTTTACTATTTGACGAAGCGCATTCAAAATTCAGCACTTCATCCTGACTAATATATGCTAGGATTATGTTGCGCGATGGTCTATATTACATCCCTACTTAGGTAATTACCCCGAATCTAAACACATTTTAGACTGAATAGAGTTGCCGACAAACACAAGGGAGACTGAAATGCCCATTTCTGGCTCATTAACCATCGTCAGCCGGCCATACCCAACCCGAAGTGCGGAACACCTGGCGCTCGATCCCGCGACCTGTTGCTTAGAAGTCATACTCCTCTAACCACTGAGCCACGAGCTCATTGTTCTATCGGTTGCAATCAGGAACATACAATGGTGGAGGGCGCTCACTGATCGTTTTTACGGAACTCGTCCGGTTGGACCTTACAGGCTCTCTCTCTCGATAACAACCAGCAACTGCGCATCGGCGCATGATATAGACAGAATAGCATTCCCGATCGCAACCAGAAGGACAACGAACCCCAGGCACAGGCGGTAGAGGCGTGGACTTCTAGCTAACAGGTCGCGAGTTCGAGCCTCGGCAGTTCCACACTTCGGGGTTGGGTATGACTGGCTGACGACTGCTAATAAGCCAGAAATTGCCATTCCAGTCTCCCTCGTGTTTGCCGGTAACGCTTTTTTGCCTATATCTTGCGCCGCTGTGCGACTGCTGGTTGGCTCGAGATACAGCCCATAAGGCACAACAGGCCGAGGGAGTTCCGTAAAAAACAATCGGTGGGCGCCCCTCTACGACCACACACTTAAGAATTTTGGTTAACATTGGTAACATTAACATAATCTGCCTTAACTTGAGTCGATGAATCAGTCCTGAATGCCCTCTGGTCTCGTTTGGGCTGACAAGGGGTGAGAACTGACCAGGATCTCCTTCGGATACTCTCCGGGTGATAACTTTGCGAGCGTAATACTTGACGCACAGCAATCCCCCTGCTCGATATTTACTGGCAGTTCCCATAGTTATTTATCTTGGTCGGACCGACTTGTTCATCTGTGTGTGTGTGTTTTCTTCCTAAAATTGGCCACGCGGTAAATGCGCTGGACCAACAGAGGGGCTAGATCCGAATCCAACAGACCTTATCGGTAAACGTGTGGCGGCACGTCCGGTTGCATGTTCACGCCGCGCCAGATGGGCTTTGAACCGCCCCCTCCCTCCGGTTTTTTCCGGTGTATAAAATCCTGGTCAGTGTACGTTATGGATTAGGGGGCGTGGTGGTACGCATAGGGGCGGGTTCCAACCGTGCCAGTATAGCGGACAGTCATCATGACCGGTCTGGCGTCATTGTTCAAGACCTCGCCGCCTCAAGGTCATCCACCCTTTTGCAGTGAGCCGTTCCAGACGCGCTGACCTGAGGTCACACAACCAACAGCTCGAGCATACCTTCGTCCGCACAGCTGCAGCTGCCCATGCGGCCACTTGAACGCACCTCCTCCCTGCAACCGCAACCTAGGTCACTGGGACAGCACCCCTCGGCAAATGCAACACACTCTTGAGCTTGGTCCACGGGCCTAAAAAAGTG